CACAAAAAAATATAGGGGGGGGGGGGGGGGGAAACACCCCCCCAAAAAGTAACCTAACTAGCATCTGGAAGTTAGGAATTAGTAGAGATGTAAACAACTCTGTAGTTGCTTTTGTCTATTAACTTAACAATGAGAAAAGTGAAGCGATCATTAAACAGAAACAGCAATCCCAAACTTGCAAAAATTTTGAGTTGGTTGCTGAAATATGATGAAACTGACTAAAAATTTTAATTAAAAAAAAAAAAATCAGTATTTCACATTTTCTCCTCTTACTTGTAAGCCTCTCTGAGAGAGCCAACCATCTGCAAATCCAGCCTGACCAGGAAATGGAGGCTTGGGAGGAAAATCCTGCCAGTTGTAGGGCTTATTTACATTCCCTTGGACTATGCAGGTCCAGGTGTGCACCCACAGGCAATGTGTCCCCCAGTAAGCTGTATACCCTCAGAGTGATGCCCAGTCAGGAGTATACTGCTATCTCCCTTCTGTTCTGGCTTAAATTTTATCCTTTGACCCTAATACATCCCATACTCTTTCATATATTGTCCACTATAATCAGTTAGTGTTTTACCACTAGCTAGGGAAAAGAACATCTCTCCTTACCTTTTGCTAGAGGAGTTTACAAATTATTCTCTCACATAATGTACAACCACAATAGCCTGTAGTATTTTCTTCCAATTCTCAACTTTTTCTTTACTCTTTTCTCCTTCCATCTACGCATCCTGCTGCCAATTAGAGAGCCCTGAAGCCTAAATGCTCCTCTATCCTTTTCCCTTTACACAACCAATAATCTTACTGTGAATTTCTGATCTGGCAGGGACTAACATGAAGCCAGCACAAACAACAGCTTTCTATACACTGAATTCTCAACATAAGCCAGTTGTAGTTTGCAAATGCTGCAAGAAAAGAACATAAATAATTGGGAAAAAAAGAATAAGGTTAAGGAGAAAGATGAGACGTGAGAGGAGGGAATATACAAGTAAGGAAAGCAAGAAGTACGGACAGGTGTAATTTCAAGCTAATAGCTCATAGTGTTGAAAGAATCCAGCACTACATATAATTGAAACTGATCCTACAGGACATATGGTTTAACACTTGAATCTAAATGACTTACCTGAAGCCAGTTACACATGAGAAACTGGGAAGCATTGGGGTGGAAGAAGAACATGGAGGGCAAAAAACCCAAGCAATCCACAGACTTTAACAGTGCTCAGTCCTCAACGAAGTTTCCAATGAGGGTTTCCAACTTCCCTTATGGGACTTGCAGGGAAAAAGTTCCCCAAGATCAGTCTGCAAATCCTTAATGACTGCTGGGTGTGGAACTGGACTGTCTTTTCAGTGATTTAAAAAAATAGTAATAGTAATAATTCTCCATAGTCCAAGCCACAAACACATAGTTTGCAGCAAATACCACCTGAAAATTCAGCCTAACTTCATAAGGAAGTCACTTTTTCATCTTCTTGCAAACCAGAACATTTTGTGTTACTAAACTGAAGACATAAAGGAGAAATTGAGATAGGCAAATTGAAGCATGGGCAATTAGGTGAAAATAATAGCAGTACTGCCATCTAGTGATTTGTGATGATAAATTGATTTAATAAATTTCATAATCTTGCCACATTTAGCTAGAAGAAAATTTTGTCTTATCCTTACATTAAAGTAAAAAAGGGATATGGAAAAGAGAAATACACAGGAAAAAAACCTACATTGCCAATGATGAGTCATCCTTAAAATAACCCCTTTAAGAAGTAGAAGCATACATTTTGTTTGCTTCCATCACTTGGTTAAAAAAAATAAATAAACCCTCTCAGTACTAATGAAGACACTATAGGGATGATATTAAACTCCCACATTACACAATGAAAATAATAGTATACCCACAAGGTCTACCCCTCATTGACTGGTAACTGTATTTTACTGGTTCTCACCAGCTGAATCTCAGCCATTAACCTAGTTCCCAAATGCAAGGCCTGTGTATAGTGAAAACCAGGCTAAAGTTCTGACTGTTAATTTTAACAGGGCTTGTGTTCAGGAATGAAATAATTTTATTTGGAGACTAAAAGGCTGAATTGGCAAATTATTCATCTTTTGGCTTAAGTTTAATAGGAAGTAATTACATTTGCATTAATATTCGGCAATAATCCTAACGATATAACCATACTTCAAAAGCATTCTTCAGGTTATTACTCTAAAATATAAAAATTCACAGTTAACTATCACCTACAAATGGAGATTAGCAAATTTCACATGAATAAGAACACATTATCTAGAAAGCAGTCATACTTCAGAGTTTATAATGAGGCCTTATTTTCAGTCATCCTTATTTAATGGCTTCTTGTATTTCAGTAGATGCTCCTGTTAATAAAAAAAACTCCGTAATATACTCAAGAACCCTAAGAGGCAAAACTATTCTCTAAACAGAGCCTAAAATGAAACAAAACAACGGCTGGAATACTAAATTCAAATGCTATTAAACTTCTCATCTTTAATCATAATAGGCATAACTATTTTAATTGTATGGAACAGTACTGATTACACACACTATTAATAGCTAAGCACAAGTTGACAACTGTCCAGAATAAGGAGCAGTCATTTATTTATTTATTTGAACAAATCAATTGTTTGGAGCCATGCCCAGTGCAACAATCTCTTCAAATAAAACGTTGCATCATAAGTTGCATTAACTAATAGAGAGATTCGTAGGCACATACTAGCCTACAAAAAA